ATATATATATATATATATATATATATATATATATATATATATATATATATATATATATATATATATATATATATATATATATATATATATATATATATGTTGCAGAAGTCAAGAATTTTTCCGCCTTTTTGATTAAACACAGATCCGATTTCCCTCGCCTTTCGAGCTGTAGTGTTGGGCTGAATCATGAACCGCTGCAATTTTACTAAACATATTGGGTAATTTAATCCCAGGCGGTTGAGACTAGAAAGCGAAAATGGGTATCTGGATTTCGTGTTAGTGACTCTCTCTCTCGCTCTCTCTCTCTCTCTCTCTCTCTCTCTCTCTCTCTCTCTCTCTCTCTCTCTCTCTCTCTCTCTCTCTCTCTCTTTCTCTAACACTCTCGGAATCCTGGCAGCATGGAGAGCAATGATGAAAAAAAGGAAAGTTGAAGGAAAATGAGAAAGAAACTGCGAGGAAAAGAAACAGAAAAAAGGGGGAGGAGAAGAAAGGGAAGAAAGAAAAAAGAAGAAATAGAAGAAACAGAATGGAAGGGCCAAACAGCATTATCAGAGCCATTTTTAACGCTGTTCCTGGCCGCAATGCATCCCGGACCTGTTTTTGTTTCTATTAACAAATCTTCAAGGCCAAGGTTTTGTTTGCCTCACAATGCGCTTTTACGAACAATGCGCCTCGGTTGCTGCTTTGTGCGCCAAACAGCCTGAGCATAAACAATGAGAAGCGAAATTCGATAGCTTTAGGAGATGCAGACCAAGGCTTTCACTGTCAGTCACCATCGCGCTTAACGAGGGAGGAGTGAAGCCCTACTGTGTGTACTGGGCGTCTGAATTTCGCAGGTACACACTCAGGCCCGGGAGGGGGGTGGGCCGATGGGCGGGGTGGGTTTAGGCTTTGGTATATTTGGAAAGGGATAATAATGAGGATAATGATGATAATAGCAGTGATAATGATAATGATGATGATAGCAATGATAATGATAATAATAATAACAGTAGTAATAATAATGATGATAATAATAATTACAGTAATAATAATAATGATGATAATAACAATAATAATAATGATGATAATAATAGTGATAATAATAATAATAATATAAGAGAATAACGGCAGTAATAAAAAGAAATAACAATGATAGTAATAATAATGATAAAAATGATAGAAATAATGCTAATGCTAGTGATGATGATAATAATAATAACAATTTCAATAATGATAATAATAATGATAGTAGTAATAATAATAATGATAATAATAGTAGTAATAATAATAATAATGATGATGATGATGATAATAAGGATAATAATAATAATGACAATAATATTTATGATAGAATAATAGGAAGATGACGAAGAATGACTATAATAATGAGGATAATGATAACAATACTAATAACAACAATAATAATAACAAAGATGATAATAATTATGATAAATGGATAGGAAGAAGCCGAAAGATGATAATCCTCATGATGAAATCGACAATGATGACTCTAATAAAATCATTGATTATACTCAAGAAAGAAATAATGTCACTAACAAGTTACCACAAACACAACAGTAATAATAATAACAACGGTCATGATTATGATAACCCGTTGGATATTATGCAAGGAGGAAGAGCAAGCCACTGATAAGAAAGGGAAGGCAGACAAATGTGGGAAAGTATCCGCTGGGACTGAAGGGAGAACAGAAGAAGCTGGACAATGACCTCGGGGGAAAAAGACACCTTGGGAATCCCACAGGGTCCTGGGGAGGAGAGAGAGAGAGAGAGAGAGAGAGAGAGAGAGAGAGAGAGAGACAGAGAGAGAGAGAGAGAGAGAGAGAGAGAGAGAGAGAGAGAGAGAGGGAGGGAGGGAGGGAGAGAGGGAAGGAGGGATGGGGTGGAAGAGAGGGTAGGAGGGAGAGAGAGAGGGTGGTGAGAGAGAGGAAAAGATGAAAAGAGGAAGAGAGGGAGGGAGGGGGTGGGAGAGAGGGAAAGATGGAGGGAAGGAGAGAGGGGGGAGGGAGGGGGTGGGAGAGTGGGAAAGATAGAGGGAAGGAGAGAAGGGGGAGGGAGGGGGTGGAAGAGAGGGTAGGAGGGAGAGAGAGACGAAGGGATGGAGGGTGGTGGGAGAGAGGGAAAGATGAAAAGAGGGAGAGAGGGAGGGAGGGGTTGGGAGAGAGGGAGAGAGGGGGGAGGGAGGGGGTGGAAGAGAGGGTAGGAGGGAGAGAGAGACGAAGGGATGGAGGGTGGTGGGAGAGAGGGAAGGGAAAGATGAAAAGAGGGAGAGAGGGAGGGAGGGGTTGGGAGAGAGGGAAAGATGGAGGGAAGGAGAGAGGGGGGAGGGAGGGGGTGGGAGAGAGGGAAAGATGGAGGGAGGGAGGGAGGGAAGGAGAGAGGGAGAGAAGGAGGAAGGGAGTGAAAGAGGGAGGAAAAGAGTGAGAGAGAGAGTGAGAGAGAGGAAGAGAGAGAGAGAGAGAGAGAGAGAGAGAGAGAGAGAGAGAGAGAGAGATAGGGA